GTCGAGAGCTTAACTTCTTGTGTGTTACTCTTATGTACTTTTGTGTAATCTCCTTTGTTTCCCAATTAAAGCTTAGGCCTCACTTGTAGGTTGCTGGTTTTATGTTTGTGTGGGCTTCCTCTGTTGCATTTTGTTCGTACGGTGCGGCATCTGTCTCCTCTGTCCCTGCAGAGATGTCGCAGTTAAAAGTTCTATTTAAAAAGTCAGTGTCATGCGGTTTCATGTCCTTATTGGGTTCTTCCTGCACTGGTTTCATTGAACTCAGGAAGTGGCGTCTCTTTCTGTCTTCCGCACCATCTCTCTCTGTCTGTCTCTGGTCTCGCTGTTTTTCTGTCTCACTCCTTTGCTCCTTCATTCTGTCTGATGGCGTGTGGTTTGCCCTCCTGAACTCTCTCCCCTCTCCCCCTCTCCCCCCTCCCTAGCACTGTTAACAAACAGCCGGAGCCCACTCCACGTAGAGCCGGCACTGTAATTAGAAAGCAGCCACAGCTAACCTCACCCACCTTCCACCCCCCACTGCCTCCTCTGGAAGCCGGGGGTCCTGCCCAGCCTGAGCCCCCGCCCCAGCTCCTGTCCTCGGCTGCAGAGGCTGAGCAGCCCCGCCTGAGTGGTGCTAGTAGTGGTGGTGGTGTTGGTGGGGGGCTCCAGGTAGCTACAGTGCAGCCTCAGGTTGTAGCCCAGCTCAGCGCAGAGGAAAGCAGGTAAGGAGAAGCGAGCGTAGCAACATTACTCCATCGTCTGCTCGCAGCCAATCAGCCAGTCCGGAGAACCCCCCGTCCTTTTATGTTTGTCATGTGTTGGATTGGTCTTTGAGTTTTTACTCAAATTAAAAATGAGAAAAACCATGTCAACATTTTCTTTTAAATTTGGCTTCATTGTTAACAAGTTAAGAATGTATTGCAACAACAATCATGTGTTGCTTTGATTACAGGCACATTTTATCCTCCCTTCTGCTTGTTGTTATGATCGACCAGTCTGTTTTAAAGATTCCCTTTTTGCCTGCCTGCTTGTCTGACTGAGTGTTTGAGTATTTTGAGGCAATGTCTGATTTCTGCATGTAACACTCACAAACCGATTTTCTGAATTTTGTTCAGAAAATCGTGTTCATGATGTTTGTCTATTGTTCCCCGTCTGATAACCCTTACCCAATGAAATTAACTTTTGAGTGAAATATGTTTTCTGTGTAGCATGCATGAGTGCTTGCAGCACTTGCTTGTTAAAATCTGTTAAATTACAGAATATGTGTTGAATGACTAACATTTGGGTTTATTGTATTCCCACAGCCCAGCCCGTGAGCTCATGTCCACCCCCCCTCCCCAGTGGAATGGTTCGGTCCATCTCTCAGTAGGCACCCCTCATTCCCAGGGTGGATCCAGGGGGCCTAGTCCGCACATGGTTCGAAGAGGTGAGATGATACACTCCAATTCTGATGATTTATTATCATCAATGTAATTAATATCATATAATAATTATGTTTTCATCTGAAGGCACCAAGAAGCAGGCCCCCGCCCCACCAAAACAATTCAGCCCCTTCCTTTCTCAGCTCAGCAACACACAGACATCCAGCTCCACTCATCATCCACCCATCACCCCCAGACGCCACACCGTCAAAGAAAGCCCTATCCAAGCCCCGAGCCACCCGCCCCCCCAGCCTCCTCCAGCCCACCAGGCACAGGGGGAGTCGGAGCCCTCTCCCCCCAGGACTCCCACCCCCCCTGACAGTCCACATCATGAAGGGCCGCACTCCAACCAGCATTCCTTCCACCACTCTGGGTCCCTCCCTCGCCCCTCCAGGCCGGCACCCAAGCCACGCCCCCGACCCAACATGCCGCCGCCCCCACAACCTGCAGCAAATGACGCAGATGGCATCTTTGGCTCCGCCTCCAAGGTCATAACAGGTAAGCAATCTGTGCCTTACAAATTGTGTTTTAATATAATTTTTATACAAGATTATAAAATAAACTGTGTGCCAGCAATACATAAAAAAAACATTTAAGACATAGATTTTTTTTATAAAGAAATCAAGAAAGGGTAGTTGTACTGTAACTAAAATGTTGGTAGAAGAAGCATGTCTGTGTGTGTGCCCAACATGTGTAGCGTATGATGACGTTTTTCCAATTTCAAATGGCACATGGATTTTTCGATCTGGCTAGTTGTGTAGTGCCGGGGTGATCAGAGAAGTTTGTTTACTATACTAAAAGCAGTAAGACAAACCATTATTTTTAACAAGGGAACGTTTTGTATTCAAAATGCCACTTACAGTAAGTGAAAGAAAGCACCTGTTGGCAGCAAATGCAATTTTAGTTATCAAAAGTAAATAAACCCATTATGTGACAGGATTCTATTAGTATCATATTCCTTTATTGTTCAAGACCCTTTTAATGTTGTTACTGTAACTTTGAGGTGCAGCTTACCTATTGCTTTATATACTGTTGATAAACTGTAAGGCGTTTGTCATTATTATTAATCTTGTTTGGAATTTTAAATAATATGTTTTAAGTCACTAGTTGTTAAATTAATTGAAGTAAAAGGTACAATATTGTTTCCTGAATCCCTTAATTAACAGAAATGTGAATTGACTAAAATACCTCAAAATTATACTTCAGTATAGTACTTGAGTAAATACTTGTTTACATTCCTCCATTTTAATCTACCAAATGTACTGTTGGGGAGTGAGCAGTTTTTGCAGTTTTTTCTATTACACACATTTTAGATGCATATTTCATCAACAGGTAAACATATTTAGCTATGTTTAACATTCGTAATTATGATTTCTTCTTCTGTATTAGCATTGCAACGGCTGAAATCACCTTCTGATGATCTGCTGGCACTTTCTTCAGTAATGAGTGATTTCAGCTTCCTCTCAGGCCGTTGCTGTAATTAGCTCTCTGGCTTTTGGTTTCACTGTCATAGAGCTTCACACCTAAATATAACTGTGGTGATCTGATGCATGACAGGAAATGTGTAAATATTACAGATGTCTGAGCTGCTGGTCAGATGAGCTTTGCAAGGCAGGTAATGGTAAGGATCTGATTGGCTGACGTGCTAGCCTTTGTCTGTGTCCACTGCATGTGTGTGTTGCTGTGCAAATACTGTATACATATTTTCATGTATATTAGTATGCATTTGTCTCACTCACCCTGCTGTCCAGCATTATTAACACGCTTTTACATTTCCACGCCATCCCCTGCTAACAGTTTTCTGTTTTAACTAACTTGCTCTTAAAAATACTAACACACAGACTTTAAAGTAATACTTGTTGGTGTTGCTGCTGTATCTATTATTTTTTTTAAACAGATCTATGTGAAAAATGTCGCATTTAATGATTAACACACCAAGGATACTGTCCCTACCTCTAAAAACATGACTTGACTGGCACTGTAATTGCAATATTGACTTGATAGAAAGATCGGTCCTTGGTGTCTTACTTTGTGTGAGAAGGTGTTGTGTGCGCGCCCCAGTGTTAAACCGTGTGTTGCCATTACACGTTTGGTTCATAGCTTTAGCTCAAGTTCAAAACATTTCTAACCTGATTTATTTGTCCCCTTAACTGTCCTGTATAGACGGAAACCTTTCCCTAAAGGGGATTGGACGAGCCTTCATCCCTGAGGTGATTGCGGACCAACCAGGGGAGAGCTCTGCTGGTCAAGAGCCCGCCCCCACCCCAGTGCTGCAACCAGACCCTCAGTTCCAGACAGAGTACACAGCTCTGTGAAGATAAAGAGGGATCGCTGTCATCCAAATTCTCTCTCACTCAGCTGGTCCGTGTAAAAGATGTTAATGTTTAGAATAAAATATCAGAAAGGTAACTGAACTCATTTGTTACCCCAGCTCGTCATGCTCCACTCATGTAAAAACAGCTGCCTTTTCTTCTGTTTTGCTCAAACCAGAACCACAAAACGCCTGTTCAGCTAGTACATTGCATATCAAGCGCTCCTTTCGTTTAAACTGCAGGGTATTTTAAGATTGGACTGCTGAGCAATAGCATCAAGCCTCAATTTATACTTATAAATATAAACGCATACTGTAGCAGCTAAACTGAAAGGGTGCTAAGCTTTCTCTTCACTCTTTTTTTACAACTTAAAGTTGAATGCTATGAATGTTTTCAGATAAAAAATTGAGAACCTCGCTCTAGCACAACATACAGTAGTCAAGAATATTTTATTTTAGTCAGCATAGTTGTGGGGAGAGATTGTAGTGTGAGCCAGTCATTGCCAGTGATCTATTTATCAGTTTCCAATTTGTCAAGCTCCAGAGGCTTTTTAATAATTTTCACACACCTCAGGTCTCCATTAAACATACCAGTGTAAAGAACCAAAGAAATAAATATGGACCAATGGAAATATAATGAAAATGTAGAGCTGCCCAGCCTCTGTTTATGGTTGTTAATGACCAAATGTTTTGTGCAATATAAAAACAAATTGTCTTTCAATGGTATCCTCTCCACAGCAAATATGCTGTCATTTTTGTAATTGTAATAATCCAGTGGGGTAGGATTTTACTTTTTGTTTTCTATCTGAATATAACTCTATTCCAAATGACCGGATTGACCAAGTTTTTTAAATGGGTTTAAAGCTCAATGAGTATATTTTTTATCATTAAAAGGGATTTTTTTTTTAACAGATTGATGTGATGCATGTTTTCAATACATAGCTTGTAACTGATCACTCCAATTTACGCTCAAAGCTAAGACCAAATACAGCCGATTATTTCTTTGTGTATAATTTTCACCATGGCTGACAATCTTACCTTGATAGGATGATTTTCAGCTCTTTTACTTCTTCTAAGCATTTTAATGATGGCTTTTCTGCACATAATGCATCCTACAATGCATCATTACTCTTTATAATTAAAGGTGTTCAACATTTTAAAGTGTTGCGGGCTCATCAGTTATTTTTCATTCTGTCCAACTGTAATTGTTCCTTAAAACAAAGGTGGATTAAAAGCGTGAAAAAGACTTTGCTTGCATCAGCCATAATAGTTTGATTTTCTTTGGCTGTAATTCATTCACATAGTCAATGTAAATAAAGCGTTTATCTTAAGATATATGACATTATGTCGGCACAATAAAACCTAGTCTCTAACGTCAATGTAGTAAAATCATGCCACAAATGTGTGGGAAGTAAAGCAAGCACCTTTGTCTTTTAAAGAAGGGAAAAAGCATCACTGTATGGACATATTTATGTTTACAGTCAGTTTAAGGACAACAAAAAAGTGGAATTTCTTCTCATTCTTTAAAAAAAAAAAAATCTATACACAACTTTTAACCAACCCAAAACACTAGGTGTCCATTGAGTGTCACAACCTGTCTGTCAAGCCCAGTAGCCGATGATGAAGAAAGTTACAGAGAGGCAAATGAGCAGGTTGACGTTAACAATGCGTCGTAGCAGTGGCTTTTCCTCCAGAGAACAGATAGCCTCTTCAAGTGGAGGAGGCATCGCAGGAGCATCATCGCCTCGCTTCCTCCTCTCCAACCCACACAGCCAGAAGAAGGCAGACATAATCTTAGACGTTCTCTGGACGCTGGACACGGAGGATGAAGAGTCTGGAAAGTTCAGGAGGGAGAGAGAAAACACTGAATAGTGGAGAAGATGTGATCTACAGCTAAATTAATAGACAAATGGGAAACCCACCATTCCTGTGATGACATGCTTTTCCATTGCTGTTCTCCTCCTCATTTCCTGTGACTCCCATGCCATTTGTCGGACTGCTGTTCACCTCTGAAGTCATAGTGCTGTCCTCCACTGTGAACACCTGCTCTTTGGGCTCTTTGGGCTCCACTGGGTCAAACCTTGTAAACCAGGTCAGGCGAGTAATCTGTTATTTAAAAAGAGACATGGAAAAGTTACAAAAATGTAAGAGAAACAAATTAATCTCTTAGTAGTACATGTTTATCCAGCACCCTAAGCTGTTTTTACTATTAAGTCTGTGTGATTTAAAGCTAAAATAGGCAGACATACTTTTCCAAAGGACCCAAATGATCATCCATTTGGTCGAAGTTTTAAATCGGTGCCCTGAAAACTAGTATCGTACGTTTCCCTATGGTGTTATTGACCCCTAGTGGCGCTGCAGTGTAGAGCATGTTCATATGGAGAGAAATGCAATTTATGTTAGTCATTATTTTTAGTTGCAAACAAAAACATTTTATGTAAACTCTAAAGACATTGGCTTGCTTACAATGAATACAAGACTATTTCTACATCCAAACAGAACTATACAAATATATTAAAGACAGAAAAACACATGAAACAGCCTTATAACTGAAATGTAGATGTGATTCAGTTTTTTCCACCTGCTCTGGTTTGGGCTCCTCTGTAGCCAGGCTGATTACAACCACCACAAACAGCGTGATGAAGGACAGCAACATGGAGAAGTACAGGTAGTGGACGTATTTCAACACCGCAGGCCTGTCGTCCTCCTCGAAGCACTGGGGCGCAGGGTAAATGAAGTCCAACAACATGCGGATGCAGCCCACCACCAGGCCAATAACCAGGCCCCAGAATGCACCCTGATGTATGAAGGGAGAGAGGAAGAGAAGTGTCAATTTCTAGCAAGATAACCTTAATATTTAGACTATGAATATAACACAGTAGTTAGCCACAGTTGTTTTAGTGAATCTTTCATAATCCAATAACATCACGATTATATATTAGAATACAGTCTATGTATGCTTTAACATGCAGGATCTCTTCTGCAGTATTTTTGTTGTTCCCCGATAGTTATTTTGTGTTTTATATGTCCTACAGAGAGGACATGGCTGTCCAAATGAGGTTTTGCTTAATGCAATGCGACAGTTAGCATTTAATAATGCTACATTAAATACATAATTACTGGTGTGCTGGTGTTTTGTAACACATCAAGACAATTAGGTATAATGAATATGACCATGCCTGCATTAAAACATAAGCTTTGAGTATGCAGCTTTCAGAGCTAAGCCGATTGTGTTATTGTGCCATCTCAATGTGTTTTGGTAATCCTTTTAATTGTCTAGTTCAACAGTGACATGGTGGGTTTTACAAGGGATTCTTAGTATACTATTATTTGTATATACTGTATGTATATTCAATCCGTCTAATAATCAGTCACAGCTGCGAACAGACACAACCCGAGGCTGCAGCACCTCACCTTCTCATTGGTCCTCTTCCAGAAGCAGCCTGTGAGGAAGATGATGGACACTGGAGGCTGCAGGTAGGTGCTGATGGACTGGATGTAGATAAAAAGCTGCCCCCCCTGACTGGCCTGGATGACAGGAATCCACAGCACAGACACCACCACCAGCACGAGCACGAACAACCTGTAACACACACACACACACACACACACACACACACACACACACACACACACACACACACACACACACACACACACACACACACACACACACACACACACACACACACACACACACACACCCCATCTGTTTTTAAAGCCAAATACAGAAGTTCAAAGACATGTTATGGCAGTTGATCACAATACAGCTTGTAAGTAATGGAGAACTGTGTGTGTGTGTGTGTGTGTGTGTGTGTGTGTGTGTGTGTGTGTGTGTGTGTGTGTGTGTGTAGTTTTAGATGTGCTGTTGTCATTCCTTATTAATAAATGTTTGCACAGATTTGATTGTACACATCATCCATCAGTCATGTTGTAGCTACACATGTTGGGTGTAGCTGTCCTTGTCTTATGTTTACTTATCATACTAACACGTGCAAGACACACACACACACACACACACACACACACACACACACACACACACACACACACACACACACACACACTGGATTTCATTCGGTGCACATGACTGAGAGACACTCGCAGAGAGGAGGGAAAGCAAACAGAAAAAGAAAGAAGGGATTTAAAATGTGCAGCGAGCGAACGAGAGGACGAGAGACAATGGGACGGAGCAACAGGAATATAAAAACCTGGAGAGAGAGAGTCCGAGATATTTGATCAGCTCCTCTTGTCAATTTTTTATTCATAATAACTTATTGAAAGAGCCTCTGGTGTCTGCGATCAATACTCACTGTAGAAGCTGGAGAACTGTGTGTGTGTGTGTGTGTGTGTGTGTGTGTGTGTGTGTGTGTGTGTGTGTGTGTGTGTGTGTGTGTGTGTGTGTGTGTGTGTGTGTGTGTGTGTGTGTGTACTGGAAAGGAAAATCTGAGTCACTACAGTAGGAATCTAGTCGGAAAGACGGATTATGTTTTTGGCTAAGCATGACAGAATAATATAATGATCTAATATGCAGTTTGGTGATTTAATCCAAAATGAATTATAATTACATATGTGGTTTTAGTGGGATGACATATTATTCATGATGTATAAACTTTTAACCTCTAACTTTCTAGATCAAAAATGCTGTAACTGCAGGCTATGTACTGAATTGTAAAGCATACAAGCTGCAACCAGGTAATGTTTGGGGTTATGCCTGCTTATCCCCAGGTGGTCACATACCTTCCCACAATCATAAGTTCCCACTCAGATGCACGGGTTCGGAAAGTCTTCCAGAGATCCATGGTGAAAATGGTGCTGGCGCTGTTGAAGACGGAGGTCAGAGAGGACATGAGGGCAGCGATCATTACTGCCATCATGAGACCTCGCAGGCCTGGGAGAGAAAAACAGAGTGACTGGCAAAAGAGACTATAGTTTAAAGCGAGTCAAAGACAGTATAGGTGGTGTAGGGAGGAAAGCAGTCTCACCAGTAGGCAGCAGCTCCATCACCAGTCTGGCATAGGCGGTGTCTGAGCATCCCACTGGGTTATCACAAATCTCTTGACACAACTCAGGGTCTGCACACGCCACATCATCTAGTTTTGAAGAGATATTAATACAATTTATAACATTAATCACTATTTAACATTAGTAATTTAAGGTTGTTCATTAAGCGTATACCAAGTACATTATTCCAGTTGCTGGCTTGATGAATCAAAACATACATGTCAGACTGTACCTGTGTAAAGTATCCTGCTGATCATGCCCGGCAGCATGATAACAAAGAAAGGCAGAATCTTTAAGTAAGCCGCCATTAATGAGCCACCTTTCGCATGGGTGAGGGTCTTAGCAGCCAATGATCGCTGCACAATAACCTGCGAATAAATCAAAGTAACCCTAAGTTACCTCACAGGGATAGATGGTTGATAATGAAGAGATACCGCAGTATGTATGTAGATTTTAATGGAGGTCTATTTTATCAGAGAGATAAGAATCTCATAGCTTGCAGATATTATTGCGCCTGGCAGGTATCAAGGGTAAAGGTTTTATGTGCTGTACTTAAAGGCAGGAAATGCTCATTAAAATGTCACGTGTCTTCTGATGTCTCAGATTTCGGCTGGTTGGTAGATTATCACTCTGATATTTCAAAGGAATGTTTAACCTCTCTAAAGAGCAAAACATTCCAAATCATCAAGATGGGGGTTTTCAGATGAGGGTTTTCAGATGAAGGTTTTCAGATGAGGGTTTTCAGATGAAGGTTTTCAGATGAAGGTTTTCAGATGAAGGTTTTCAGCTGAAGGCGCTTTCAAGCTAAACTTCAGAGGAATTTTGTACACAGCATAAACAAGATGTAAAGGGGCTGAATAACATTTTCGTCTTTCATAGTTAAAAGACATTGAGACACTCAAATAAATTGAATGTTTTTAAAGCAATTTTGACAACTCTGGGCCCTATCATGTCTAACACTCCTTCCCTTAGAGGTCAGGTGTGCCAGCATTATGATAGTTTAAATTAAAGGCTTTTTCACTGCACGACTAATTCCCCATTCTTTAATCAGCTCTTAATTATTAAGAAAAGTGCTACACTAAAACGTTTATATTTATTACAGTACCTGGTCAGAACACCAGTACCACATGGAGGGGATGGACATGCCGATGATGATCCCGGGCCAAGGCAGGTCAGAGTTCACCGGGTCTCTGAATATGTGGAAGGCGTCATCTCGAGGGATGCCACAGGTTGAGTTTGGCACGCGTACCGAGGGGATGGCGTTGGGGTATTTGCTCATCAGAGCATCCCAGCCTCCAACCTCCGCAAAGCCTTAACAGAGGAAAAACAGGGTCAAATAAACTGGAAACAAACTGCTGGTGATGGGAAGGTTTAATGCAGTCAGATCTGACTTACTGAAGACCATGAGGGTGAGCCCTCCAGCCAGCATTATAACAGTTTGAGCAGCATCTGTGTAGATAACTGCAGCTAGACCACCTGGGGAAACAACAGCCAGCGACACACAGAACAAACAGTAAATGCACGTTTATGTCGAATGTCTAAGCAAAGAGGCGTAGAGGGAGAAAGGTCACCTGCAACAGTGTAGAGAGCAGTAATTGAAAGCAGCAGCACCACAGCGATGTAGATGTTCCATTGTAAGGCGAGCTGAATGAAGAGAGCACCGGCATACATGTCCACCTGACAGGAAATAGAAAACAGAGACAGACAATATACAAAATTCTACCGCTTTCAGATGCACACACAAATATAAAGGTATTTGTTACAGCATAGGAACAGTAACATATTGTTGTGAATTTGTTTTTTACCGATATCTTTGTAAAGATGTAAATAAATAAACACAGGACAGTTAAAAATATCTGTGTTCTTCTACCGCCAAAACGCTTCTGCAAATATTCTGGCATGGTCACCACCTGGAGATAAAAGAGTTAAAAGATGATTATCTATAAAGGAATATTTTAAATGTATCATGCATGTGTGTAATCGTTTAGGTTTAGACGCCCTTACCCCAGAGGCGATATAAATGGGGAGAAAGAGCCATCCCAGCAGCAGCACCATCAGCATACCCTGTCAACACCAAACAGAAACTCTTTACACTTCAAAACAGCAACTACGTTTTATATTTCATGTCACAATTTGTCTTGTATTGAACTCTTAAAAGCATACATTGATCTCTTACATTCCACTCATATGCAATAGCCCCAATTCCTGCTGCAGCCCCTGACCCTGCCAGGCCGATGAAATGTCCACTGCCAATGTTACTGGCAAACAGCGAGGCACCCACCTAAATATAGATACCAGAGTCAGTATCCTACTTTGAAGTGCAGAACATTTTTGCCTCCATCAAAATTTTAAAGGGCTAAAATGCACAGGGGATAGATAGAAGTGTGTGTTTGACTCACAGGCCACCAGGTCATGTTCTTCCCAGCCAGGAAGTATCCTTTCACCGTGCTGCGCTTTGTCCTCAACATTGACTGGTTTGAAGAAAACAAGAAACCTCTTAAAGATACAATTGCAGAAGAAATGTTGATTCATAGCTTCTTAATAGACATCATGATCCCTGACCTATTTTATAGGATATTAACTACATATAAAAAGAATGATAGGATATCAAGTGCTGCATCAAGTCGTCGTGTTAACACTTTCTCCTACTATGACAAATTCAAATGTCTGCTTCGAGAAAGGCTTGTTTATCCACTCAATGTTGAATATTTTATGTGTCACTGTTGAGTCAGAATAACTATGTGAAAATGGTTGGTAAACAAATTAAAACAGAGACCAGTAATTACCCAGAATCCAACAGCCAGAATCAGCAGAAAGTAGATGACCAGCACCACGATATCCACTGTATCGAGGGAAGTCCTGCGCCCTGGGGCAGGAGAGGGAGACGGGGGCATGCTGGTCGCTTGGCGGCCTTCTCTGAGGTCAAAGTGCATCTAAAGTCAAAGAAATAAACAAATGATGTCTCCTGCTTTGTAGCACCTACAGCAGTCAGTGGTAAGACTAGTTAGTGTTATATGATATGATATAAGTAAAGCTGTATAATAACAAAGTTAAGTAGGATTAATGTGTCTAAGTTTGAGGTACAAAACATGACTTTATTCAACATAATGTGAGGACATGTGAGTGTCACAATAACTTTTGGAATGTATTTTTAAACAGAATCAGGACTGTGGATTTTATCCCTCATCAATTAAATTCCTAAACTGATTTCTTAATAGTCATTATTAATTGGAGTAACAATCACATGAGGGAAATCTCATCCCATGTTTCCAACACTGACCAGCTGAGAGTTATCGTTCATATCTAAACAACAATGCCAGAGTTTTCTTATAAGACAAATATATGAATGTCAATTACTGTAGACATGGATTCTTAACCTGCTCTACTGTTGTCATGTGCTGACGAGTGAAACAAAGCTTAAGGTTAACTCTAGACTTGTAAACTACACGGTTTGCACTTGGTGGTGTTGCACTTTGATCTGTGAAGCACCTTGTGGGACTTACATATACAACTGAATACATACAAAACATATTAAATAATACGCCGCTCATTTCCATCTTATTTGATGAATGTAGTAACATTTTACAGAAATTCAGATATCAATCAAACCTGCAACTCAGTCCCTTACTACCTTCAGGCTGTGTATTGTGTTATTAATTGGTAAATAAACTCACCTTAAGTACGTTCTCACACTGGGTTTCCTTGAGCTAAGTTGACTGGTCCAAACAAAAACAGCATGTCACAAATGACATGATACCGGGAATGTCATGCTTGTCAAGTATCCTTGTGGTTGCCAAAAGATCAAACTCCACTTTAACCTTGTATACGACAAGGTTTAGTTAAAATGTAAATGATTATTGCTAGTGACAGATTAATAAAGGCTGCTTCCGCTGATGATAATGGGAACGCTAAATGATTACTGTTTTAAACGTTTTAAATTCATGCAATTTACAAAGAAGACATTATATTAAAACAAGGTAAGAGCATACTAACTGTGAGTGTGTTTGTGTACAAGTTTATTTCACAAAAAGAAATGTTTAGCTGAGTTGTTTCCGCAGCAGGACAGATACACTGCTAGCAATAGCAGATGAGTCAGCAGCTGTTATAAAGATAATGATGATGTGTTTACTGCGTAACATTTGCAGGATATGTAAAAACACTAGTGTATGTGAAGCCATTGATGTGATTCCACTTGTCCCTATCAATAGTACTTTTAGTATTATTCCGCTGTAAAATTACCTTATTTCCATAGTGTTTTAAACAAAGGTCTTAAAAACACAGAGTACACAAAGTAGATTTCATTACACTCTTTATATATCATCGATAGGGTACAATACAAAATACAGACTTAACAATGTATAGGCCTTAAACTGAGAGCAATGCTTTAGAAGATGGCATTATGTAACTTACATGAAAAACAACCTAGACCATTATTAGAAAATAAGGCTTTCACTAGCTGCACACATTATTCCTGCCGTACCTCTAAAGAATATCGCTTGAAGGCTAAGATTTATTTTTCACAGAGCTCTGACAAGCTGTATTATTAACTGTTGTTCTGATAGACTAACCTTAATGTCATTAATGTCCTCTTAGTGGTATCATTTTATGATTAGTCCATATGACACAATATAAGAGATATTTGGTACATTATAATAATGTATACATTAACATAACAAAGTGCTTCATATAATATAGCATTTACTCTTATTCTGTACAGTACAAACACAATATATTTCAGTGATATTTTCATATAGTATAATTTTTTTTTGTATAATATCCAACAGTGAAGCATGGCTTAACATTCACATATTGCACACTGCCCGCTGCCCATTTTTCTACTGCCTATATTAACGACTGATTCTAATTGATCATTGGAAAATATCATATTGCCTTTAAAAAACAAACAGTAAGTGCCAACTTCTCAATATCTCATATACAGCTCTGAAAGAAATTAAGAGACCACTCCAAAGTGTTCTTAAATGTCAATCTCTACATGTATGGCAGCCATTCAACTTCAGTGTTTGTTGAATTCCAACACAGAGAAATGTTGTCAGTAGTTTATAGAATAAAATAAAAAATGTTACCCAAACACATACCTATAAATAGTAAAACCAGAGAGAATGATACTTTTGCAGTGGTCTCTTAATTTTTTCCAGAGCTGCAGTGTTTCCCCTATATAAAAAATAAAAAAATAAAAATGTCTTCATTTCTTTAAAAATTCAAATAATAATAAGTGGCGACCCTTTTTGATTTTTTTATTGTTTTTTATGTGGATTTGTAGTATTTGTGTAACTGTATGTTCAATAAAGGTGTATTTTGCTAAATCTTGAGACATTGCCACTGTATGTACTAGGCCTCAAGAGCCTTTCTTGTGCTGGCAGAAACATATTGGCGAGGCGCACTTCGCACGCGCACACACTATAAGATTCCAAGCGCTCCGCGCTCACATTTCGCTGGGCCCGAATGCCTTAGCACCGCTGCTATGACTCCATCCTAGGGGAAACACTGAGCTGTATACATATAAATAACATCAGAAGTTTGAACAACACACATACAGTGTGGCAAAAAAGTATTTAGTCAGCCACCAATTGTGCGAGTTCTCCCACTTAAAAAGATGAGAGAGGCCTGTAATTTTCATCCTAGGTATACTTCAACTATGAGAGACAGAATGGGGGGAAAGAATCCAGGAAATCACATTGTAGGATTTTTAATGAATTAATTGGTAAATTCCTCGGTAAAATAAGTATTTGGTCACCTACAAACAAACAAGATTTCTGGCTCTCACAGACCTGTAACTTCTTCTTTAAGAGCCTCCTCTGTCCTCCACTCGTTAACTGTATTAATGGCACCTTTTTGAACTCGTTATCAGTATAAAAGACACCTGTCCACAACCTCAAACAGTCACACTCCAAACTCCACTATGGCCAAGACCAAAGAGCTGTCAAAGGACACCAGAAACAAAATTGTAGACCTGCACCAGGCTGGGAAGACTGAATCTGCAATAGGTAAGCAGCTTGGTGTGAAGAAATCAACTGTGGGAGCAATTATTAGAAAATGGAAGACATACAAGACCACTGATAATCTCCCTCGATCTGGGGCTACACGCAAGATCTCACCCCGTGGGGTCAAAATGATCACAAGAACGGTGAGCAAAAATCCCAGAACACACGGGGGGACCTAGTCAATGACCTGCAGAGAGCTGGGACCAAAGTAACAAAGGCTACCATCAGTAACACACTACTCCGCCAGGGACTCAAATCCTGCAGTGCCAGACGTGTCCCCCTGCTTAAGCCAGTACATGTCCAGGCCCGTCTGAAGTTTGCTAGAGAGCATTTAGATGATCCAGAAGAGGATTGGGAGAATGTCATATGGTCAGATGAAACCAAAATAGAACTTTCTGGTAAAAACTCAACTAGACGTGTTTGGAGGAGAAAGAATGCTGAGTTGCATCCAAAGAACACCATACCTACTGTGAAACATGGGGGTGGAAACATCATGCTTTGGGGCTGTTTTTCTGCAAAGGGACCAGGACGACTGATCCGTGTAAAGGAAAGAATGAATGGGGCCATGTATCATGAGATTTTGAGTGACAACCTCCTTCCATCAGCAAGGGCATTGAAGATGAAACGTGGTTGGGTCTTTCAGCATGACAATGATCCCAAACACACCGCCCGGGCAACGTGGCTTCGTAAGAAGCATTTCAAGGTCCTGGAGTGGCCTAGCCAGTCTCCAGATCTCAACCCCATAGAAAATCTTTGGAGGGAGTTGAAAGTCTGTGTTGCCCAGCGACAGCCCCAAAACATCACTGCTCTAGAGGAGATCTGCATGGAGGAATGGGCCAAAATACCAGCAACAGTGTGTGAAAACCTTGTGAAGACTTACAGAAACCGTTTGACCTCTGTCATTGCCAACAAAGGGTATATAACAAAGTATTGAGATGAACTTTTGTTATTGACCAAATACTTATTTTCCACCATAATTTGCAAATAAATTCTTTAAAAATCAGACAATGTGATTTTCTGGATTTTTTTTTCTCATTTTGTCTCTCATAGTTGAGGTATACCTAGGATGAAAATTACAGGCCTCTCTCATCTTTTTAAGTGGGAGAACTTGCACAATTGGTGGCTGACTAAATACTTTTTTGCCCCACTGTACATGGCTATAACTGACACGGAAAGAATTCAGAAAATGGTCTGACAGTGAGGCAAAGATACAAAGCAGCTAATGAAACAATCAGTCATCAGGACAAATGAGATCAACGAAGAAATAATATACACTTAGTCAGTAGAGAACTAATGTTACATTCAGTGCGGTGGGCGGCTTACAAACATATACAACACGTAAACTAACAGGAAAACTGCTTCTGTGGTTTTCTTCCTAACCACAAAGAGAACGTGAATGCATTTCAATTAAACATCTATTTCAGGTTAATCAATGTTTGTAAATCTATGTCTTATAAGAGCATATAGCATCAATATGTCACTGTAGAATTGTAGTAGCACACTTAGGTTGAGGCCAAAAGAAAGAAAACTTCCACTACAGGATGTTACTGAGTAACTGACAACCAAACAACATGGTTTCCTTTGTAGCAGTCTTAGTCATTAAAGTGTTAGACGTAACAAAAACTCAGTTTCGTTTTGAAAAGATATTCAATATATACTATACCACTGGTATAAGGCTTGATCGTCCATCTTTGATGCAAAATACATTTATTTTTGCCTCATTTTAAAGTTTCTCCCTCATTAGTTTTATGTGTGTGTATATACAGTATATTAGGATCTGTGTCTGTACTTATATGCACCGTATGAACGATGAACTATGTTGTCCTCGCCGTACTGCGTGTGTCTTTGTGTGTGTGTTACCAGGCCAGTGGAGAGGCCAGTCGTTGACTTCTGGGGCTCTTCTGGTTTTCTACAGCTTGTTGATCAATGAGAGCTCTCTGTGGTAAAGAAACAACAGGGTTTTTAAGATACTTTTTCTAAGTTTGTGTGTTGCATGTATCTTTTTAACGTTTTTCTTTTCGTCTTTGGGTTTTTTATATTTTATATTTTTTAAATCAGAATTATAAGGATTTGAGCCCTGTTGTTTCCATTATTTTATGAACATATAAAGTTGCTCTTGATTCACAATAAAATCACTTACTGTATAAAATGGATAACAATAATAACATTTAAAGGTGAATATTTTTGGTTAATTTGTCCATTGAGTCTACATACAGAACAAGTCAAGAATGCAACATTTGTATTGTTTAGCTTACATTGTAGCTTATGATTAATCTTTTAATATATAACTTTTAAATGTGTTATTTTAGAACATTTGTTAGTTAGTTAGTACCATAGCCTGGCAGACTTTCTCTATACATATTTGATGAAATGCAAGCAGTGCTCAAAACAAAAAACCTAAGTAATGAGGTGTGTTTTTCTGCAACTGTGCAGAAGGAGCTGGGTGAAGATTTTTCTTTTTAGCAAACCATTATGTTAAATTGTTTGGTGGGAGACTGAAAGGAGCTACAGGGATTACATGCTTACATACTGTGTGATATATATCGTTTTAACTTTAACGCTGTAAAGTTTGGCCAGTAGGGTTATTTTTAATAATCAAATGCTTCTTGCTTACCTGAAATTTGATAAGGAAATCCGCAAAGATACCAAAGAAGGCCTCAGTGTTTGTGGATTGGCCATCTTCTCCAAAGTAAGAGGCAGTTTTGCTGAATTCCTCCATCGCTCTCTGCTGCAGGGACTCCAGAGACTGCAGAGCTGGATGACTGTTTTCCAGGAAGTTCTAT